CGAAGTCGTGCTGGTCTATGTGGGAGCCGTACCAGGAGTTCTGCAGGTTGCCCGAGTTGCCCACCACGGCACAGCGCCGGCAGCCCACCGACCTCTTCTCCAGCAGGGGGTCCACGTTCCCCGGGACCACCTGGAACAGCTCCTTGAAGGTGTCGTTCAGGTTGCTGGGACGCTTCTCCCCCTGGAGCCTCTGGGGCAGAGGGCAGAGCAGCAGGTCAGTCTGGACATGCCGCTTCTGGATGGGGACGCAGCTGCTTCCCCGGGCCCGCCAGCTCCCCCGTGGCCCCGCTCAGCCTGAACAGCCCAGGTCCCCTCAGGGGGCAGGAAGGAAAGCGGTCATTCATTCTGCCCGACCGCAGGCACCGACGGCGGGCCGGACGCTTGGGGCGAGAGACTGGCAAGTAGGATAAGGCGCAGGGAGCGGGTGTGGGGGGCCCCACGTCCTCACCATCCAGTGGACACCATCCAGTGCCCACCTCTCCTGCTTATGCCCCCCCTTCCCGCCCCTCGACTGCCCCAGGCCCAGGGCTATTGAGCCCCACCAGACCAAAGGCCCAGCCCCTGGCCAGGCCATCACAGCCTCCCACGACTGCCCGGCAAGGGGTTCCCATCTCCTACGTCCTGGTGCGAGGCTGCCTGCCCAGGACACCCCGTGATGGGATGCAGGGCCTCGAGCAGACACGGGACAAGCCGGTCACTGGCATGTCTTAAAGCCGTCTGGCATCCCCTCTGGTGCAGGACACTGCATGTTTGGGGGAGCAGGGAGCAGGCTGGCATGCTGTCGACCAGGATGGAGATAATAAAAAAGGAAATAACAAGCGCTGATGAGGACAAGGAGTCTAGGTTCTTGCGCTTGGCGGGCGCAAAACCAAACGGGACGGCTGACCGGAGAATGGCCGTGGGCCCCGGCGGCTACACACAGCGCTCTCCTGTGGGTGGCCAGCCTACTGCTGAATGGACCCCAAGAACTGACTGCGGGGTCCCCTATAGACGTGTGTGCTTTCAAGTGACAGCAGCCAGCCGAGTGTCCAGCGACCTCTGCAGAGGAAGCACCGTCGCTGACGGCCGCTGGCTGTCCCTCGAAGGACGCTGGCTCGGACGCTCCGCTGTGAGCTTATGCAGAAGGACACACGTGGTCGGGGCCGCGGTTCAGAGGCCAACAGAAGGGTCTTCAGGGGCTGGGGCCTGGGGAGGGGGTCATTGTGGGTTCGTGGTTTTGCTGGGCACGGACGATGGTGTCAGTCACGCGACACTGTGGCTGCATGTAATGCTGCAGAGCTTCTAAATGGTCAAGGTGACAGATATCATGTTACGCACATTTAACCAGACCAAACACCTGCTCCAGGCCGACCGCAGCTTGTCTCAGTGGGGCTGGGCTGCACCCCAAATCCCGCCCCTCTAACAGGCTTCCCAATTGGTGGGTAGGGGGCTGCTCTCTGAGAAGCTCCGGGCTCCAGGCGGTAGCCGTGTCCTGCGTGAGTGCCATCCAGGGTGGGGGAGCCCAGTGAACCCCAACTATGCAGCCCTGCCTGGGGACACGGGACTCCGACGGGGGAACCTGCCAGGACACGTGACGTGGCGTTCTCATCAGCCCTCGCTAAGACCCACTGGTGACAGGTCCTGGCCCCTCGCGGCCACATCAGCGGGAAAGCACGTCTTATTTAAAAGGAGATCGCTCATCCCGCCATAGCCAGGCCGGGGTTACTTGGCAGAGCAAGAATGAAATTGTAAGATACAATAAAGACAAAAGAGCGACATTCGATGCCACGGGCCCGGTGCTCACCCAGGCAAGCCGCGGCTGCTGTCAGGAGACTGACAGGTGCCAGAGCTGCCTGGCGCCCAAAGGAACAGCCTCCAAATTCAGGTTCCTGCCCACAAAGCCAGAGAGACGAGCCACACGCTTCCTCCTCTGTGAGAAGTGCTCGGAAGCCTGGCCCCGCGGATGCCGTCTCCTGGCTCGCCCTGCCGCCCAGAGTGCCGGCAGCTCTGGGGGGCCCCAGATGGAGGCCCCAGGAGGGCAGCAAGAGCCTAGGTCACAGGAGAGCTGGAGACCCCCCATCAACAGCAGGAGGGGCCGAGCTAAGCGGGGGTCCGGCTGGGTTTCTGCACGTCACAACCCTCTGTGACCCCTTGCAGCTGGGCTAGACAAGCGGGGGGCCCTTCTTCCTGGGAGAGGAATACAAGTGGCTCCCCCTCTCTGCAAGGACACAGGCTCTGAGCCCCCCAGGGGACCTGAAACCACAGTCGCGGCACCCCTGAATACTTGCTGCACATTCCCTCTGCTCCAGGCCAGCGAGGAGGCGAGGAGGCGTCACCTCTAAGGCAGGCGCCAGGGAGCCAGGGAGCGAGGCCTCGCTCAGTTATGGGGTGTTTGTAGGGCCCTTGAGGGGCGGTGCAGCGAGCGCTGAGACGCGGTGCACCTCTGTATGCAGCAGGGACGCGCCCTTCTGTGGGGTTCACGGGCTTGGGGCCAACGCTCGTCCCGGACTCCCGGTAGCCTAGGAGCTGCGGCCGAGCGTCCCCAAACAACAGTGCTCAGGCCTCAGTGACATGCGACGCAGACACAGCAGCACGCGCTGTTGGGGAAAAGGCCCCAAGAAACGTGCCACAGCCTCCGATTTGTAAACACGCAGGAGGGTGCAGGTGAACGCCCCAAAAGCGAGGTGACCCGCAGTCCTCCCCAGCGTCGCTGCAGGAGTCAATGGCCAGGGCTCCCCCCTGCTGAGCGCCTGGGGCTGAGCGCCTGGCCGCTGGAGCTCCAGGCCTCCCCACCGCCCCCCAACCCGGCTCTCACCAGCCACCACCTGGAGGTGTCTTCCTCCAAGAAGGCGTTCTGCTCCGTCAGCAGCGGCTGCATGGACTCGTTGAACCTCTCGTCGAACCAGGGGGAGACCTTCCTCTGCCCGACGCAGCGGACGCAGCTGCACGGCTGGTGTGGATACTTCATGAGCTTCTTGAAGTTCCTGGAGAGCTCCATGACCATCTGCTTCGGGAACCAGGTGGTGGTCGCCACGGTGTGGGAGAAGTTCAGGAAGAAGGAGGTGACGAAGACCAGGAAGACCAGCAGGGTGAGGATTTTGAGGACGCTTCTCCTCATGGTTGCCACTTCTGCTCACCTGGCGGGGACCTGGGGGGCCGGGCTGGGGGGCCCCGTCCTCACAGGGAGAACTCGGGAGGAAACATCCAGAAATGAGGCTTGGGTCACGAGGCGAGGTGGGGGCTCCCGGAGACTGAGGCCGCTCTGCTCCAGGGGGCCTCACTTCCGCGGGGCCACGGCCCACCTGCTGGACATCACCAGGTGACAGTCAGAGGTTATGCGGCCCACTCAGGGCGGGTGGGATCTTTTTGCATACTTGTCTGGTTTTGGGAAATGAAAGAGCGTTCTCTGTCAGCAGCCTTTGAACAGCAGAAAATGTGTCTTGGTGAGGCTTTAATCAAACTTAACAGTGACTTCCTTTCCCATCCACGGGGCCCGCGGGCTGATTAATCTTTGTGGTGGTCAGGGTGCCTCCGGGGTGAGGACCTCGGAGGACAGGTCGTGGTGCAGGGCAAAGCAAAGCGGGCTTTCCAGCGTCTTCCAGGAAGGAGTGTGGGAGATGATCCTTCGTTCGGACTTTTCCTGATCCCACTGTATACAGAGGTGCGGTGGTCAAGCGGCGGGCTGCAGGAAGGCACAGAGGCTCATCTGTCATCTGCAGGGAAGGAGCAAGAAGACAGAAGGGTTCCGTTAGCTCGCAGTAAAACAGGACTTCTCCCCCCATCTCGGGCAGGATGGCTTCCAAGAGCCTCACCTCGAGCCAAGCCACGCCCAGGCATTTGCCTTCTGGAGCCTGGGGGTGTGGACTGGAGCCTGGGGGTGTGGACCACGGAGATGGCACAGCTGTGCTGGAGGGTGCCCTGGGGCATGGGGTGACCCACCCCTCTTTCCTGCAACCAGAACCCCGCCCATGGGAGCATCCATTGTAAAATGAGCCCAGGATGTCGTGGATTCACATGGAGACGAGGAAAGGCAAACTCCTGTCTCTGCTTTCCTCTCTTCTGGATTCCAACAATAAAAATCGGGTGTGTGGGCAAAAGTAGTGATAAAGGACTGATCACAAAAATATACGGAGAACTGACGAAACTCAACAAAAATAAACAACCCCATCAAAAAATGGGCAGAAGAG